TAAGGCATTACCTCCGCCTTAAGTGGTTCATAGTTCGTCTCGTTCTCTCGCTCCTCAATTTGTGCCTTTCGTCTAACATTTTCTTCTTTCAGCATTTCCAGCTTCTTCAGTTGAGATTGATACTAGAAGCACTGTTTTCTCAGGTTTCAGAAGGTAATTAAATTATAACGACGCTCGTTACATTTTTGAGAAAAGAGCTCAGAAATTTGAAATCAAAAATTAAACCATTGCATATTCCGGGTCGCTGTTTAATTGTTCCTGAAGTTCTCTCAGCCGCCTCTCAAGATTTCTTTGACGTTCCTCCTGCTCTGGCACTGTAGTTTCCAGCTCTTCACGTCGTTTTTGCAGCTTCTAATTGTAGTGATATGTTAGAGCAATTTACAGTGAGGAACAAGATTGTGTTAAAGCGATTAGGTGAATGGTAGAACACGAAAAGACTAACCTCCACATCTTCTTGGGCTTCCGCAGCAACCTTGTTCACATCGGTAAACGATTCGATCTGGTCTCTCATTTCACTCATTCTATTCCTCATTGTCTCCATTTCGGATTTATAGCGAACTTCCACATCATCTAGAGTTTGCATCTCTCCTTGAAGACGCATGTATACTGAACAAGTGCAATATAGCTTGATGTTAACACAATAATTTTAGATCATTGATGTCATTTGTTTTTTTTTATTGGGTAGTTTTCCTCAGTGTGCATTCTCAGTTTTCCTTAATTACAGGTTTCGATTATTATCCATTCTATTGAGTGTTATAGATCCACAAATAGACATATGAACTCCCCAATACAGAAATTTGAACCGAGAAGAGGATAGCATTAAGACCAACTCTCACCAAATAACATTCAGAAAAGTTGGGCTGAGAAAATATCACATAAAAGTAGTTCCTGAACTTATGTTTTTGTCATTGGGGTTCCGCTTTAAAAGCAATCTGCAATTTTTCAACGTACTTGAAGTATACAACGTAAAGTTCTTAGAAAAAAACATACGTCCTTCAACTGTTTTTAGGCACAGTTGGGGATATTGTGGCAATTGTAATATGTTTAGATTAGCATAGCAGGTTTTTCATACGGTTTTCAAAAAAGAAAAGAGAAATAGAAAGTATATAATAGGAAGCAAATGCTTATCAGTACTTTTCTAAACCATTATAAGTTTCGAAGGTATATTGTTAATTTTACCCCTATGAAAGGGAAGAACTCATAAAGTTACAATTTCCGCTTCTCACATTTTTGAAGCTCATCCAATGTTGCTTTTCCTTGCAGCAACTCGTTCATATCAAGGTCAGTCACATGCGGTTCAAGCGCAGCAGCCTGAATTCAAAAATGTCAAGAATAAACTATTTTGAAAAGATAAAACCTCTTTGACACCTGTTCCATGTTCACAGAGATATTCCTCAAGATTTGTACGATTTCGTCACCATATTTGTCTAGTTCAATGGTGAGACTCTAAAACGTAGCAGTGATAATAGGATATACCCAGGAAAGACTGAGCTCACACTTACATTTTTTTGCTCTTCAAATCCTTTCAGAAAATCATCATACTCCTTTTCCTTTATGAGAAGGTCATGATACTTCTCGTTGTTTTTCGCTAAACTTTGTTATACAATTGTTAAATATTCGTATCGGTGAATGTGAATAAGGCTAGCAATATGACTTTCGTTTATCATTTTCGAATAAAAGTTTTTAAAAATTGCAC